ACACAACATCATACTAAATTCTCACTGAACCAAGTCGAAGAAAACACTAAAAACGCTGCATATAACGGGAACTAAAAGTAAGAGAGTGCTATGACGAGAAACGCAGAATCAACAGATTTCACAAACACAAGCAAATTTGGTGGGATATCAACGCATTCTGATTCATTGTGGGGCCAAATTCCACAAGCCTTTGCGGTTTCCAGTAATAACTCACTAAATGGATGAGAAGAAATTTCATTCCTTTTAAAAAAAAAAAAACGCTCTTCATACAACATTTGCGGGCTTCGCATAACGTTTGCGACTTCTGGTGAAGTGATTTGGTGGATGAAAAGAACCTCCCACAAGGACGTTGAAAGTTGGCAAGGATAATACGGGACAAGCGTGATAAGGGCGAAGTGATCAGAACAGCAAGAGCGCAACTCGCAGGCGGAAATCAAAGCCAGTGCATGATCAATTACCTCTACACACATGTTTAACGCTGAAAGGAACTACGTAGTGTAGCCCTATCGCACATCGAACACGCAGAAACTCAGCGAAAATGGTGGTGATTGCGGCCGAGGTACTACCGCTCGCAAAGTTGTTGACCAATTTACGGCTTTACAGCTGGTTTATCAAAATATACAGAAGATGGCAAACAACACCGGTGCCCGGAGAGTGAAGAAACCCTCAAATTATTAGAGTGCAGTAGTGAAGTCAACAACATATGGGGACGGCGAGCATCAGAAGTTCTGAGGCGCATGATTTGGTTCCTTTCCAGAAAATTCTTCATTCTTCAAAATTCAGTAAAAACAGTTTAACCGCATCTCGTAATTTCTTATTGGAGCAGCAACCAGCATCACAAATGGCGTTAAAATTTGTAATAAATCGGCTAAAAATTCAAAAAGAAAAAATTCCGTCACACATAGCTAACTGAAAAGTTTACTCACGTCATTATCTGCTTCCGACGGTAATTCACGTTCAGCGCTGAAGGAATCTCGACTGCCCGACAATATCCATGTGTTGGCACTGCTCTTTTCAGCTTCAAATGGTTCTCCATCCAGCAGTTTCTTTGACCAGTCAGAAGCGGAGCCGTTCTATAAGAAAATCACAATATAAA